TACCCTAATATGTATATATATACTTTTTTTTTTTTGGTTGGCGGCAAATAGCAATTTGGTTGGCGGCAAATAGCAAGCCTCTTGTTTAATTAGCCTTGGAGCCGAGGGGATAGTCTCATTTGGATGCCCGGAACCTTTGCTTGATGTAGCGATTGCTAGGGGGAATCTTCTCAGCACATCATTCAACAGTCCGACGGCGCAATTGGCGACGTCGACGGAATATACATACCCCGCATTGGCGATTTTGATCCCTCGGCGGCGGCACTCGAGCAAGTCCAGCATGTTGAGCCCAGCGCTAGTGGTGGCGACGACGCGCACCTCCGGCGAGAGCTCGAGGACACTGGCGTCCACGACCGAAAGAGAGGCGAGGATCGCCCGTACGAAGCAAGCGTAGGCTGCTAAGAAATCGTGCAGTGAGAGGCTGGATTCAGAGGCCTTCAAGTACCAGAACTTGGTGTAAGTGAAGTGCTCTTCCCCTAAGACGACGAAGGCGAGCGAATTCTTAATCAGTAGGACTTGGGGGAGATCTCATCCGCTGCCGCCGGCGATTCCATACCATCGAAAATCCCTCAATGCCCAGCCAGTTTCTTCCTCGGCTGATATTTAATTTTTATTAAATAATAATATGATAAATTATAGTGATGAAGTTAGTGGAAAAATGAGGTGAAAAAATAATTTTTTTAATTTTTTTAAAATTTTCATGTCATCTAGTTAACAGTCAAACTTCATAGTTGACTGCCACATAAGGCAAATTTAACGGAATGTAACGGTCGATGACTAACGGTGAAACGGGTCGTAAAGTTAGTGGCGAATAAGAAAAAAAAGTAATTAGGGTGGCAAGTGTGAAAGATTTGTGTAATTTGAGTGACCAAACGTGTAATTTAGCCCTTTCGTAATGCATCCAAATATTAGCCATTTTTACGTTATCGTTAATAATTTTGTAACTCTTTTCTTAGTTAAAATACTTAAATTTTACAATGTTGACCTTCATGTGTCTCTTCCAAGTCAGTATCATGTTGCCAAATCAGTATTACTAACAAAATTGCTAACTGAAAGTTAATATTTGGCTAATTCTTAGTATTTCGATAGGTTTGGATAATATAAAAGAATCTGAAAAGGGTTTGGATAAAAAATAGACATTGCCCTTTAGATTTTATTGAAGTTTTTAGTGTTCTTTTTTTTTAAAGGAAAATAGAAATGAATGGATCGTTTATCCACTCCATGCACTCAATTATTTGTTAATAAAAGAGTCTATAAATTCTTCTTCCCCTTTGATTCTTTGTTTCCTAAGCCGACGCTGGAGATCTCCTATAGAGTACCAAATTGACAAGTAATATAACATCAACCATCTGACTAACCTCCTATCCTTTTATTTAGTCCCAGGTTCGAGATTTGATGATCTATTTCACAGTCTCCATTTACGAACTCGTGTTGTATCCTTTTCGTCTTTGCTCTCTATATATCTGACGACACTATGTGTATTCCTTTCTCCCACGAAGAAGCGAGTCATCATCTTCGAGCCAAAGCTGCTGATTTGACTATAACTTGTTTCATTTTCCTTTGTTTATAGAGAGAAATCTCTCAAATACGTCATATATGAAATAAAATTTGTGAACTTTGATTTTCGATGCTATGATTTTTAGTTTGAGCTACAATTTCTGAGGTTTGGATGTTTGTAGTTTTGGTAAAATAATTGTTGAGAAAAATATCATTCCTACTTTCGCTCTCGTTGTCCGAAATTTGAAATGAGACAATAATTTTCTCATTTCAATATTATATATTGCGTAGAGTGTATATAAAGATATATTCTTTCCCGACAAATTCATTAGCACATTAAAAAAACTTATTAAACTCCTAATGATTGTTGGATCTAATCATGTCAGAATAGGAAGAGATTTAAAATTTGACGATTAACCAAACGAAAATGTTCAAAGAACCAATCTCATATAGTTTACACAAAGATATGAATATGATTGTGTCATAGTAGGTCTAAAAATTAATATTAATTTAAGAATATACATCACTTTTACATATTCAATACTGCAATTCGATATGGAACATTCGAACCAATGATATTTGAGCCGCAATTTTAAAGTTATCATCTATTTGTAAGATATATAGGAATTTAATTAAGTATTAAAAGATAACTAAAATGAGGAATTTGGCATTTGTTAGCCACACAAAGTTTCAACTTAAATGCACGTTTCTCTAATATTTTTTGCTTCTTATTTGTATGAGATGAGGTCGACTGGCTCTATGACTGTGCAACTGGAGAAAAATGATATGTACTATTGCGGGATTATGATGGCTTTTGAGATGGTTGAGTCTTGTATTGTAAGCTCTCGAATCTAAAGCAAGAAGAACTGAAGAAGAGACAATGGGATAGTCGAACATGGTCTGTGATGTTTCATGTTTGTTGGGTTCTGTGATAAGTAAAAGGATGATATGACAATGTTGCTACGTATACGAATTGTTGAAAACAACATAATTTTGAAGTGGCCCGGTGCTCGAATCGGTTCGTTAAACGGCCGGATTTCACGTTGAGATAGACCAACTTGACTTTGACCGAGCCCGAGTAGACAACTAACTAGGCCTTCGGCACCCGCTGAGATACTCAGGTTTAGGTAGAATTTGTTCGACCAGCAGCACAAATGAAGTGTACTAGGCCTTCGGCACCCGCTGAGATACTCAGGTTTAGGTAGAAAAATGAAATGTACTATTTGCTTCTTAATTACCCATAACCCAAAACAAATCACAAAACATACATGCGTGCTGTTGCTTAATTACCTATCCAGAAGAAAGTTGAATCATTCATTAAGCATCTTATCATTTCACTCCCTTGTAATACAAGTGTACATACTTGAGTCATTTTTAAAGAAAAAAGTTTATAACTAATCACCAAATGAAGTTATGGAATTCGAAATACCCAAACTACCCGTACTACCTGCCCACTCTTCATTTGCTGGCTACGTACTAAGTGTTAAACTATCTTTATTTGCTGCAGCCCTCTTCAAATTCTTCCTTCATGCCTTCATCTATCCTTCATTAAACCCATTTCAACTGTAATCAATACGCCGTTTCAAATTAAACAATCTTTCCCTTGAAGATACAGAAAAGAAACAAACCCACATCAATTTCAACGACTAAACCATCAACCATTTGGCAAGGATTCCATAACTGCATTTGGTGATTAGTTATGGACCGTTCTGGCTACGTACTATAAGTTTAATAAGCTTATACCTTATCTTTCATTACTACTTTGGAGAGATGGCGGGTATTACGGGAAAAAATCCCAAAGTACACTAGTTCTTAAAAAAAATTCCCAAAATACATAAGTTATAAAAAAAATTCCAAAAGTACACATGTTTGAGCATCACCGTTTTAGACAAAAGCGGTGAAGGTCATCACCGCTTTTGACCAAAACGGTGAATACTTCACCGTTTTTGTCTAAAACGGTGATGTATTCACCGTTTCAAACTAAAACGGTGATTGCTTCACCGCGTGAGAGCAAAACGGTGAAGCACTGAACTGCGTCCAAACTTTAAAACAACGTAACTTTGTGCTCGGTTATCCGATCGTAGCGAATTTTTTTTTGATTCCGCATAATTTTTCGAGATCTTGCAAGCCGCAAACCGCCGGAGGCGGTTTGGTCCCGCCTTCGTCTCGAAAAAATGTCGTTTGCTACCCCGAACGACCCTTTTTTCGATTTCGTCAAACTTTGAACGACCATAACTTTGTGCTCCACAATCCAAAAATCATGAATTTTTTTTGATTCCGCATAACTTTTTAAGGACTACAATTTTTAGTAGGAGAGAATTTTCAAAAAATGAATTATTTATGGATATAAGGGGTTTTGGGAATAACTTTACCTTCCCTTTTCAGGAATCCAAGTACATTCCGAAATTATGTCTATGATAAAAATTTTAGTCCTTAAAAAGTTATGCGAAATCAAAAAAAAATTCATGATTTTTGGATTGTGGAGCACAAAGTTATGGTCGTTCAAAGTTTGACGAAATCGAAAAAAGGGTCGTTCGGGGTAGCAAACGACATTTTTTCGAGACGAAGGCGGGACCCGGCGGTTTGCGGCTTGCAAGATCTCGAAAAATTATGCGGAATCAAAAAAAAATTCGCTACGATCGGATAACCGAGCACAAAGTTACGTTGTTTTAAAGTTTGGACGCAGTTCAGTGCTTCACCGTTTTGCTCTCACGCGGTGAAGCAATCACCGTTTTGCTCTCCCACGGTGAAGCAGTCACCGTTTTGCTCTCACGCGGTGAAGCAATCACCGTTTTGCTCTCACGCGGTGAAGCAATCACTGCCCTTCTCTGACGCGGTGAAGGCCCAAACATGTGTAGATTGGGAATTATTTTCATAACATGTGTATTTTGAGAATTTTTTTTAAAAACATGTGTAACTTGGGATTTTTTCCGGGTATTACGGGTACCCGTAATACCCAAACGGGTACCCGTAATACCCAAACGGGTATTAACGGGTAACCCGTGGATACCCGTTATAGAATTTCTTGATTCCAAGTACCATCCTGTATAAAAAATTACGGGTATTTGGGTACCCGTAACCCTCAATAAAGGGACGGGTATGGGTATACCCAATACCTGTTTCCCGTTGCCCACCTCTATTTGTAGATAGATAGATTGTAGATTTCAGTATTATTTTAACATAAATGTCAATACTATCAATTAAATCACAATTGTACCACTAATATCATTCTTAACCGATACAATCTACCTTAGGGTCTCACAATGAGAATTGTTATTAGTCGTCCTATTTTTTACTAATCATCATCCTAAATTGATGTAAAAAGTCCTATAACCCTTAATGAATCTCATATTCATGTTATGAAAATATGATATTTATATTGAAAATACAATATTTATGTTATGAGAATATAATATTCATTAAAAATATTTAAAAAATTTACATCGCGATAATTAGTAAAACCTCCAACTCCATTTACAAAAAGAAAATATAACGGAACAAAACGGAGACATGGAGCAAGAACGGGAGAGAAGAACAGTAGACGGAAAAATCCAAAGAAAGCGACACAGACGTGGCAGCATTTGAATCAAGCAACCAAAGACGAGCCGCGACGAACTCTGAGTCTCACTCACCCGGCCAATTTTTTCACCACAAGGAAGGAAAGGACAGAAAAGGTCTCATCCAATCATACTCCGTTTCCCGGATCAATCAGTCAGTCGGTCGCCGGATCCCCGACCATGCCGCCAGCGAGATCGACAACTCCGGCGGCGGCGTGCGAGAAGCTCCAGAACGCGCTACGGGAGTGCTACCGCCGCATACCGGCGGGTCTAGGACGTGACGCCGCTTGCCGCCACCTCAATCTAGGGCTAGCCAAGTGCCTCGTGTCGGCGGCGTGTCCGGAGGAGGCGGAGGCCGTTCGCAGCTTGTGCACGAGCGGCGGGACGGCACTAAAGAGATCGCAATGCCAGCAGGCCGAGCTCTCCCTCGCTGTCTGTCTGGGTTCCCATCAGTAATAGACAGCTCCTCGACATAGAGAAATTCAAAACCCTCGCTGCCCATAATCTACCTCGGAGACCCTCTAAAGCCAAAACCCAAAACGTGCATCAATCCATGTCAGAATCTGGAATCCCCAGAGCTTCTGATGAACTTCTTCAGTTCAGACTTCAGACCACTGCAAGTCTTTGTTACGTGATTTTCACTACCAAGTTTTGATATGTATAAGATTGTAAAGATGGTGCCTTTCATTTTTCATCCTTTACTTGGAAGAGATCAGAGAGTTACTGACACACACATCTTGTATGATTGTTTGAGACTGTTAGAAGCTATGTTGATTATGAATAAAGGGTAAAGATCTGTTTGCATCAAGCTAAACAAACAATGCAATTAGATGCAGTTGCTTTCCTGTGCAGGGAAATTGTACTTCCTGCGAAGAAGCTATAACTTTTTTCCTCTGTGATGCGGGGAGGAGTAATCGATATCTGGGCCAACAGGGATGATCCGAGAAGGGTTCATGGAAGGATTGCTTCTTTAATAGAAGCGCTTGATGTGAGACATGTTCACAGTAGAGCTCATCCTAGGGATTTGGTGGATGTCCTTTGTGTAGTTTCTTAGGTTTGTGTACTCCCTCAGCAGCTTCTTGTTGCACTTGAAGTGGACTGCATATACCTGCAACCGTCCATCGTAACACCAAGAAGATCAGATCGGTGAGCGTGCTTTTTTATGATTACTAAACGTATCTGGAGGAGACCGGTAAGAGTAGAGCAAGAACCAAAAATGGTTATTGATGATGATCCCTCATCGAATCTGATCAGTGTGACAAACAGCCGGATATCTGCTTGCTTTTTTATGATTACTAAATGTATCGCTGCTTGCTCAGGATCTCCTCACATTTGTCCAAACATTCATACAACTCTTTCACAGCCTACATACACAAATGCAGCAAGCAAGGGCGAATCACACAAAAGATAGCCAAATTACTTGGTGTTCTTGTATCAATAGATTTTAGGTTTACCTCCTGATAAGGGCCTTGCTGCCTGGCGAACCCACATTTGTAGACGCCGCGGTTTATCCCGCTATCTATCCACTCATTGGCCTCATCGATTTGAGCTCGTAGGTGGGGAGGGTACAGATCCAATGCTGTGCTTTTCTGTGTTGAGCATGCGCATGATTTCTGCACTCTCATTGTTAACTATTATTGTCTTGAGCTTCTCATCCCAAATAACCTACATTGTCAATTTGTCATATAAGAAGGAAGCTTTTAAATTGCGTCCAGAATCAATTTACCAGAAGGACAAAATGATCATGATAATGGGAGATGTTTAACGTACAGGAACAGACCGAACAGTGTACTTGCCGGTGTAGTTTGTGCTTGCAAGCTCGTACAAGTCCCTAATGCTTTCTGCTCCATTCAAAGGGTCAGGTCCAGCTCTCTGTGTCGGATTTAGGGAAAACCCATCCCATATTCTCATCATCATCACGGTTCTTAGTTCAGTCCCATATCGATTTCACAGACTGTAGCAAAATGGTTTAGGCCTCTGAAATTCGTCCATTCCAGATGTGTTGGGAATTATGATTTATGATATATACTTGATTGAGCATAAGTTGTATTTTTCGATAGTCAAAATTCAGAAGTTTCCCTGTATAGTTCTTCCTTGGAACTGTGTTCGTTACTGAGATTATGGATTCAAATTTGCAGGCCGATCTAAGGGACAAATCTGCTCTGGAGAAGATTTTCACGGGTTCAAAGTATGATGAGTTTAATACATTGATGTTCCTGATGATATATGTTTCCATACTGATTAGGTGAATTATTAGGGTCTCTAAATATTTTCCTATCTGCACTTTCCAGATTTGATGCTGCCATCACTTTGCTGGACTGAAAGCAGTTGGCGAGAGTGTTGAGAATCCCTTGTTGTATTACAACAACAATATCATTGGAACAATTGCTTTGCTGGAAGTAATGGATGCCAAAATGTAACTCTCTTCTTTTGTGCTGTGAGTGGGGATTGTGTTGTTGCAAAGTAGGTCATTGTGTTAATGATCTTTTCATTCTGGCTTGTGTTTTCAGCTTGTCTTCTCATCTTCAGCCACTGTTTACGGTTGGCCAAAGGAAGTGTCATGTACGGAAGAATTTGCAATCAGTGCAATGAACCCATATGGGCGTACCAAGGTATCTACTAATGTTGTTTTGGGACTGTACTGAGTGACTGTGTACCAAAGTTGTCAACCCGCAGGTTGACCCGGACCCGGTCGAGCTAATGGGTCAAGGGTTAATGGGTCACCCGTTTCAGCCCGGAAATATGAAAAGAGTCATTATATTACACTTATCTTGATAAATTCTAACGGATGACTAATAACATATTACATTACACCAAAGTAATATGTCGTACTTAGATACAACATATAGCGAAAATTCAGCTAAGGATTCCAAAGATTGAGTTAGGTGAAAAGAAAAATCGAAAAATATGCGTATTTCAAAAAGAAAAAAAAACAGAATTTGACCTCCAACCCGATCAATACCTTGTAACGGTCGACCCGACGGGTGCTTGCGACTCCGTTTTTCTCATCAAGTCAGGATCATAGTGGGTCAACCGGAGGTCGACCGTCAGGTTGACAATCTTGTTGTGTACTCAAGCATATTGGTTAGCTTGTTCCACTCTGGCGCTTGTGACTTTTTTTCTTCTGTAGGACTCCAAACGCACGAGTCGTAGTAAATTATCAGATTGTTCAATGACAATCTGTTGCTAGACCAACTCAAGGATTCAAACGACTGATTATATTACTTTCCCTTTGAATCTCACTGCTCGTGCCACAGTGGCGGATACATGGACATATAGGGGTGTCCCGGGACACCCCTAAAATTTGGAAGAATGATTATCCAATTCACGGTTGTAGTTTTGTATGGAGAAAAAATTATAATTGGTAATTCGGGACACCCTTAAATTTGAAAAAAATGATTATACTACTCTCGATAATAGTTTGCGTAAGATTAAAAAATTATAAATGGTAGTTTATGTTATTTAAACTTAGGACACTATTATTATTAAACATATTCTTTAGGTTGCAACTCATTTCTTGTTCTATTTAAACACTAAGAAATAGTAAAAACATTATTGCTTATCCCCAACTATTTTCAAGACCTAACAACTAAACTAATTGTGGGTTATCCTTAATTTGAATTGATTTTATAGTTACACAGCAAGAGTTAAAAGAGTCTTTCAACTTTGATATACATAAAGAACAAGGTTAGAATTCGAATATGAGATCAGTTCGTATATTATTGTCTAGTATGATATATAGATTTGTTGAGCAGTAAAGACGTCGAGTATATTTTATATTCTTTTTCAGAATATGAAAACACGTTGTGGCCTTTTGTTAAAATTTGTACTAGTCATGTATTTTCTTATTTATGAATTATTTATTTTATTTTTTTAAAAAGGACACCCCTATAAAAAATTTCTGGATCCGCCATTGTCGTGCCATACAAGAAACAATAGACTCCAAAACAGAAACAACAACACAAATACATGGGAGAACACCTTATTCCTTGCCGACTACAAAGCAAACCACACAACACCAACAAGTTACATCCTGGTAGAAGCTCATTAGAACCTTTCTCTATCATGTGGGGAAGAGTAATCAATATCTGGACCAACAGGGATGATTCCGAAGGGATTGATGGAAGGGTGGCTGCCGTAGTAGTGGCGCTTGATGTGAGCCATGTTCACAGTAGAGCTCATCCCGGGGATTTGGTAGATGTCCTTTGTGTAATTGAACAGGTTTGGGTACTCCCTCAGTAGCTTCATGTTGCATTTGAAGTGAACTGCGTATACCTGCAAACATGTCAAGAAGAAGAAGATTGAGTTCGAACATCATCAAGAGATCACAAAGCACAACAATGCAACTTTGAAAGAAATGATTGATTACCTCATCGAATCTGATCAGTGTGACGAACAGCCGGATATCTGCTTCAGTTACTGCATCTCTACATATGTATCGTTGCTTACTCAGGATGCCCTCACATTTGTCCAGACATTCATACAACTCTTTTATAGCCTGTGCACCAAATCAACATAAGGAACAATCCCGAAAGACACTACCAGGTCGATCTAGAAAGAGCAGAAATCTCAAGGTAAACAGACTGAATAGGAGGAGAGAGTTATCAAGATAGTTTCTCTTTACCTCTTCGTAAGGGGTCTGCTTCCTGGCAAACCCACATCTGTACACACCATTGTTTATCCCGCTATATATCCACTCGTTGGCCGCATCAATCTGAGCTTGCAAGTGTGGAGGGTAGAGGTCTAATGCCGGATTCTCAGCTATGCTGTTGAATTCTGTATTAAACATGCGAATTATCTCTGCACTCTCGTTGTTAACTATGGTCTTGAGCTTTTTGTCCCACAGTACCTAATATCACCAAAAGATGATGATTTTAAGTCCAGAAACGGAAACAGAAACAAGCATACATCATGAAAGGACGAACCCAAGAATTGATTGAGATGTTTTAGCTTAACATACAGGAACAGTGTACTTTCCGGTGTAGTTAGTGCTGGCGAGCTCGTACAAGTCCCTAATGCTCTGTGCTCCATTCAAAAGGTCAGGGTCAGCTCCTGGTTCCTCTGTGTCGGATTTGGGGAAAACCCATCCCATATGCTCATCACTGTCCTTGGTTCTGCCCCATATGGGTTTCACAGACTGCAGCAAAATGATCACCATAAAGTCGGACCCAAAACCCAATCATCCTTTCCCACAATGAATTCGATGCAAAGACAAAAACTTACAGTGAAGGAAACGTGCTTGTCGAGGCCTTTGATCTTCAAGTAAGCCAGGCATCTGGAAGCCCAGGGGCAAGCATACGAGATATAGAGATGGTACCTCCCAGATTCCGGTGGGAACTGGGAGCTTGATTCCCGTGATATGAAGTTCCGGAAAGTGGAAGCAGTTCTCATAAAGGCACCGGAATGGGACAGCTCGTCGATCGCAGATCGTGCCATTTTGCTGAAAGAGACGATCACGCTAAACCTTCAAACACGATCTACAGGCAATCTACTAGACAGAATCAGTCAAAATTATCACAAAACAATCCCAAGAAATTGTGGGTCCTGGATAATGGATTTCAGCTCACGGGAACTAAAAGGAAACGAAGTTCAACAACTTCAACCAATTGACGAACAAGGGACGAGAAAGGAAGGAAGTAAACCACCGGATTCGGGCAACAAAAAGGAGGACGGCGACTGGACTTACATGGACGACTGAGATCGGTAAGGGCTTCAGAGAAATACCCAACTCCGGGAGACCGCTGGAGAGCTAACGAGGGTATTTTTTTAATATTTATATTAAGATAAAGCGGTGGAGCCGCCGGTCGTCATCATTGGTCATTGCCACACTCAGCTGCAGCTCCACTGCAACAATCGCTTTAGCCTTCTTCTTCTTCTTTCAAAATTTATTTCTATATTATCCCAATCCCTCTGTTAGTGGTCCAATAAACAAAACCCAAGAATTGCCCCGCCGGCAGGGGCATCGTGTAATTTTTTAGTCCGCCGCTGGCTCTAATGGCGGCTTCGATTGTCCTTTCTTCCTCTCCATGAATCTTCGGGAGCTACTTTGACCATTTTTTTTCTTTCTTTTCTCGTTGAATAACTTTGACCAAATTTTGGCTCTGCATAGCTTGGGCTTTCAGTTATTAAGATTTTCCGATACTTTCCGGGCTTCTTAAAGATAGGCCCAATAACTCCATTGTGACCTATGATCCACAAAAGTTAGAAAAGCAAAAGAAAGAACAGAGGCCCAGAAGCCCAGAATAAAAGAAGCTTATTAGTTAGTTATCATTATTTTTATTTTTTATTTTTTTGACGGGAACCTGAATTAATATAAAAGAAAGAGATTACACAGGGCCCATAGAAGGCCGCCCCAAATCGTTTTCAAGAAGGCAAAGCAAAGCCACAGGTGGGTTATCCACCCAAACAAATTGACGGCCCCAAACTCCCAAAGAGTGAGCTAACCAGTGAGCAACTCCATTATTTCTTCAAGGAGTAAAGTTCCACTCCACCTGAATCCCAGACAAACTCGCATTGATTTCAGCCAATCTCCAAATCTCCCCACACCAGCTACCCACTTCAGTCCGATCTTCCTCCTTCTTCCTCAGCTTGCGAATTAGCATTTGGCAATCTGATTCCACGATAAGAGGGCTCAACCCTTTTCGATTTGCTTCCCTGATACCCAGAACAATAGCTCTCGCCTCCGCTTCGATGGTTCTACAAACTCCCTTTTCCTTCAAACCAGTCGCACCCCTGAAAACCCCCCTCCAATCCCGAAAGATGCAGCCCAGACCAATTCCAGATTGATTCAGAATCCCCGCGTTGGAGTTGAGTTTGTAGAAACCTTCAGGCTGCGGCCTCCAACTCCCAGACTCGGCAGTTCCATTATTGATTGGGGGATTTAGATCCATGGAACTCCGCGCATCCAGATAGGAGTTCAGCCACACCATCGCCCGGGGGATAATCTCTTCTTCTTCCAGTTTTGCATTATTGTTCATATGATTGCATCGTTCCTTCCAGAGGTACCACATTGCGACGCAAAAGCGTTGAATTTTTTCTTTGTCAGAGCTCTTCCAAACCTCTTTTAACCAATCGAGGCTAAATTTACCTTCTCCCATCTCATACAATTCTTTTCCTTCCCATTGTCGCCATCTGTTCCTGATCCAGCTGCAGTCTCGAAGGGCATGAGTCTGGTTTTCCGGCAGGCCACAGAAAGGGCAATCAGAGCAAGCATCTTCGATCCATTCTGCGATATGACATCCCACAGGTAAGATTTCTCTCCCCACTTTCCATAGAAAGATTCGCACTTTAGGAGGGACATTTGTTTTCCAAAAAAGCTTCCAGAATTCCATGTCCTTGTTCGATGGTATGTAATGTCGAGTCTGGTGTTCAAGTCTTTAATCCCGGATTCTGTAATAGGCAGTTCGAACTGAGTACATTCCTTTTTCAGAGTCCTTCCACACCCTTTTGTCATCTTGAAGAGGGAATTGGATTGGGATCCTGGAAACCAGATCACAATCATTTTTCGACAACTTCTCCTGCAATTTTTCCTGATCCCAACCACCTCTCTCATGATCGATAAGGGAGCTCACAAGCTCACTGTTGCTCATTCCCCCAGGGATAGGATCAGCAAAATAGAAACTCTTTCCAAGGATCCATTCATCCTCCCACATACGAATAGCCTCCCCATTTCCCACCTTCCACCTGAAACCCGATTCCATTTTTTCCTTAGCAGTGATGATGCTTTTCCAAATATAACTAGGCCTGAATCCCTCCTTGGCATTGAGAATATCAGTCTTGGGGAAGTACCTAGCCTTCAGAATTTTTGCCATCAAAGAATTTGGTCTTTCCATGATCCTCCAGACCTGTTTACCAAGCATAGCGAGATTGAAAGCTCTTAGGTCCCTGAACCCCAATCCCCCCTCCTCTTTGTCATCACACAGATCTTCCCAATTAAGCCAATGAATTTTTGTTTCCTTGCCCTTCCGTCCCCACCAGAAAGAAGAGATCATGCTTTGTATCTCTTTAATAGTGCCATCAGGGATTAAAAAGACATTCATTGGGTACATGAGCTGTGCCTGAGCCACTGCCTTAATCAATATTTCCTTTCCTGCTTGTGATAGAGTTCTGCTCTTCCAATCCTTCAGTTTCTTCCGAACCCTCTCTTTTATCTCTTCAAAGATCACTTTTTTTGATCTTCCAACAATGGTGGGAAGACCCAGATACTTAGGATGTTTGTCATTGCGCGATTCGGAATTGATTTGGAAGAACATAGAGAAGTCAGGAGTCAGAGCTGCGCCTCTGCAGTTTGCAGGGTGGCCATGGAAGTCAATGTAATTGAAAGCTACTTCCGGTACGTCCCACAGGCTACACCAGAGAGAGAGAAGGGGAGGGAAGGAATGGCTGGGACCATCTGCCCTAGGATCTTAAAAAGTCTGAAAATAAAGAATCTGCACAGACAACCTTTTCTTTGCTCTTTCTTCCAGTCTTCCCTTGCCGTCACAAGAAAAAGAAGATAGCCGGAAGAGCTTTTTTTTTATTTTACAAAAGGACACTGTATTTCCATAAAAACTGGCAAAAGCCAAACATTACAGCAAGGGGGCAACCACATCAAGAATCTGTAACCATTGGGAGGGTAAATGATTTTTCGCACATGACCTAGCAACCCAATTCGCTTTTGAGTTGTTCTTCCGACTGATGTGTTTGATCAAGATCAGAGGGTTACTGTCCAACGTTTGTTTGATGATACCAAGCCAAGCTGCCGCTCGCCATGGCCATGACTTTGGATTGTTATGAATCGCACTCACCAGGGGCAAGCAGTTTGACCGCAGCAGGCAAGGAGAGTTGAGGGTGGCTTCCAACCGGGAGCCCTCCAGCAGAGCCTTCGCTTCAGCTTCTAAAGGGGAAAAACAGTGCAAGGTACTAGCTCTGCCATCACACACTTGGTCATGGTTGTTCGAGACAACGATGCCATAAGCCGCCTCCTGGGAATCGTCGAAGAACGATCCATCGCAGTGCACTTCAAAGACATGAGTACTTGGCGGTGGTGAAGAGTGATCTTGGGGTGGGATGAGCTGGGGTGCAGGGGAAACTGTATATAGTTTCCTGGGGCAGGTGGTCCACTGATGATACGCTAGTGTTGCCTTCGAGATTGTGGATGGTGGCCACAGGGATGTGTTCTTGAAGATCTTCTCATTCCTCGTTTTCCAAGTCTGCCAAACGAGAAAAATGATTTTCTGAATCGAGCAGATCGAGAAACTGTGCTTAAAGGCATCCAACCAATCCAGGAATGGGGTGAGAGGGGCAGCGGGAGGCGGTGAGGGACATTCCTGCTTCCATCCTTCAGCTGCATGAGGGCATTTGAAGAGGCAGTGATGTATTGATTCGGATGGGAAGGCACAGAGCGGGCATCCCTTCGAAGCAGAGCAGTTTCTCGCATGCAAGTTTTCTTTGGAAGCAATAGCTCCTCTAGTCACCCTCCACACGAAAAACTTCAGCTTCGGAGGGATGGACAGACTCCACAGCCATTTCTACCTTTTCTTACTCGACTCCGACACTTCCTCGACCTGTCCTTGAGTTCCCCTGACGCGGTTATGGAAATGAGTGAAGGCTGACTTAACCGTAAAATTCCCTTGGTTAGTGAACCTCCATGCCCAGAAGTCTTCCAGCAACGTAGGTCCAATGGGGATGGAAGCTACTTGTTTCAGATCATGGGGGCCAAGAAAGTCGGCTAGCAGGTCGAATTTCCACTCCCTCGAGACTCCATCGATCCAGCTGTCAGCAGTAGTCATGTCCGGCCAATCAAACTGAAGAAGGGGCCCTGCCCTGTCGAATCTCCACGGATCGTGGAAGACCTTCGTTGTTTTCCCATTTCCAATGACTCGGATCAAGCCTTGTCTCATCCATGATTTTGCTTCGCACAAACTAGAAATCCATGAGGCCTTTCCTCCCTTTTTAGCATTAAGAAAATCCGAGCTGGGGAAATAGATACTCTTCAGTATCTTAACCCACAAGGCATCCTTGTTGGTGAGGATCCTCCATGTCTGCTTAGCCAGTAATGCCATGTTGAAGATATGAAAAGGGCGGAAGCCAAGTCCCCCTTCCTTTTTTGGAGCATACAGCACATGTCCAGCTCTCCAATGAATAGTTCTCTTTGTCATGGAGCCTCCCCAGAAGAAATTTTTGAGCATGGTGTCCATCTTCTTTGTTGTACCCTTTGGCAAAAGGAACAGGCACATAATATAGGATGGGACAGCTTGGAAAACCGCTTTCAGAAGCACTTCTTTCCCTTCTGGGGATAGGAGGAGACTTTTCTATGCTTCTCCTCTACTTTCCATGCGTTGAAGGAGGAAGTTGAAAGTCTCTTTCTTGGATCTTCCCCATTCGGTAGGCACTCCAAGATAGTTGGAATGACAGTTGGAGGGAGCAAACCCGGCTTCGTGGATTATCCTTTCCTGTTCAATGCTAGGGACATTGCAGCTGAAAAACATAGAGGATTTATCCCTATTAACCTCTTGACCTGTGATCGCCCCATAATCATTGAGAATGTCGAGGATCTTCCCTGCTTCTTCACAAGAGGCCTCTCCGAAGATGACTGTGTTGTCAGCAAAAAGGCAGTGTGAGAGGGTGGGGCAAGATCTGTTGAGTTTGATTCCTTTGATCCCATTGTTAAGAACTGCCTTTTTTATCAAGAAAGAAAGGGCAGTCGACATCAATATGAAGAGTAGGGGCGAGAGGGGATCCCCTTGTCGAATGCCTCGAGAGGGTACGAAACTGGTGGAGGGTTCACCATTGAACAGGAGGCTGAAGCTGACAATGGAGATGCAGGACTGGACCCAGGTACACCAGACATTGTTGAAACCATGGGCCCTTAGGAGGTTCATCAAAAGGTTCCATTCCACCAGATCATAAGCTTTTCTCATATCAATTTTTATCATCATCTCCCTTCGAGAACCTGTTTTATGCTTCTTGAAATGGTTAAGCACCTCGTGTACAATGATGATGTTGTCTTGGATTTGTCTTCCCCCTGTGAAAGCCGACTAAAGTTCATTGACCAAATCAGGCAGCCAAGGTTGGAGTCTGTTTGTCATGATCTTGGTAATAACCTTATACCTGAAATTGCAGCAGCTGATTGGTCGAAATTGACTAATCAATTCCGGTGCTTCGATCTTTGGGATGAGAGTAATAAAAGTATTATTCCAATTTGACGGCATAACTCCTGTTTGGAAAAAACAGGTGATCTCGTGGCTGAAGGTGTCACCCAGTGTGTTCCAGTATTTCCTGAAGAAGTGACCAGGGAAACCATCAGGTCCTGGCGCCTTATTGGCTCCAAGTTGGAACACAGCCCTTCGGATCTCCTCCTTCCCCACTGGTGCACACAAGCCAATATTAATCTCCTCCGAGACCAGCTTGGGAAACCCTTCCAGAATACTTGTGTCCCACAACCTGCCATTGCTGGTGAAGAGTTTGAGATAAAAATCCTTGGCATGTTCATTCAAAACCTGAGGGTTATCGATCCATAACCCTTATGCATCCTTAAGCTTAAGGATTCGATTTCTATTCTTCCTTCTGATGGTACTAGCGTGGAAGAAGTCTGAATTCTGGTCACCCTCCTGTAGCCAAGAGATCCTTGACCTCTGAGCCCAGAAGCTCTCCTCTGTCAGCTAGATGGATTCCAACTCACGATGGAGATTCGTTTCCTGTGTGACCCTATCCGGGGACCCTCTCAAACCTTGCAGAATTTGTAATCTTTGTTTTATCTCTGTTTCTCTCTTCAATTTGGCAAGCCTGTCGTTCCTTGCCCAGCATTGCAATTCGGTTTTGCGATCCACCAGTATACTATTTATATTCCCACCTCCCCTCCACCTATCAGCAACAATCTGACTACATTCTTCACTCTCCCTCCATCTCTTATCGAATCTGAAGGGAGTACATTTAGATTTCCTTACTGGATGGAGGTCAATCCTTATCGGACAATGGTCTGATTCCACAAAATCTCCGTGGTAGACCGTGGTAATTTCAAATTTTGTTCTCCAGGAGGTCGAGCACAGAGCTCGATCGAGCCTTTCTCTAATCAGATCGTCCCCTTGCTGCTTATTACTCCACGTGAAAACTTGACCAAAGAAACCGAGGTCCACCAATGCATTTCTAGCCATGAAATATTTAAACGGAGATACATTTTCATTTCTAAGAGGGCATCTTCCCTGCTTTTCAAAAGGATAGACAGCAACGTTGAGGTCACCCACCACAAGCCACCTGTCTTCCTGGTTCGTCCTTAGGGTCGTAAGTCGATCCCATAAGGTTCGCCTCTCTACCGCCGTGGTAGGAGCGTGTACAAAAGTGCAGAAGAAGCTAACCCCATTCCTACTAATCCTAGTGTCCATGAAGGACTTACAAGAGTCGAGAATACTAGTATCAACATCTTCTTTCCACCAAAGAGAGAGACCACTTCCTTCCCTCTCTGGACCAACATATGCTGACCGATCAAACTTCATAGACCTCATCCTAACTTCCATAAAAGCATCCTCCTTCTTAGTCTCCATCAGAAAGAGCACCGAGGGGCCAAATTGACGGCACAGCCTGCCGCAATAGCTCTTGTAAGGGGTTGGCCGAACCCACTACAATTCCAACTAATGATTCTCATTCATGATGAGGCGGCTCGAGGCTTGCCGCCGCTGCCCTCGGAGTGGTAGACTCCCCTTCTCCGGATTGACATCCTTCCGCCGTAATTTCGGCCAGACTTTTCCTCCTGATGATATGCTTCCTTCTCTGGTACATTCTCCTGTTCTCCCTTGGAGTAAAGGACAGAGAATCAAAAGAAATGTTAGAAGGTGTTTCCTGTTGCATTGCCGAGCCATCCGTGCTGACTCTGGTATCAGGCTTTCTTTTCTTCTCCGGTCTTGGCGGATCCACTTCTGTTGGCACACAGTGGGCTCAGTTGACAGGCTTTGGGACTGGAGCTGATTGATATTGCTTTGGTTAAGGGGAATCGCCAGTAATGGCCTTGTGGGGTTGCTGATGGGCTGTAGGATGGGCTGCCAAGAGAGAGGGTTTGTCCCATTTCGAACAGGCCCGCCATCTTGTCTCTACTTGCTGCTTTGTCTCCTAGGTCGAGGCTCCTCTCCATAGCTCTGGTCGTTGCCTCCATCTCTCTCTCTCTAGTAAGCCAGTGTGCTGAAGTGGGGTAGGGTTGCCGCCTTCTCCTTTGAAAACCCAGTCTGACTCCCTTCCACTGCTCAGCATCAGGGCGTACCCAGGTGGGCAGCTGTATGGTCCATGAATTGGAAGCCCCGCCAGGGTGACCTGAGAAGATTCGCCTCAATTGCCGCAGATTTGCTGTGTCATCGGGGTTGGGTTTGGCAGGCGTCTGTAATTTGCTAGCTTTTCCCTGAACGACGCCGGGGGAGTGTTTGCCGGCGAGTCGTGGCCAGCTCTGAGGGCATCGGTATACACCTCTGACGGGTCGATGTTCAACCCCCTCCTTCTATGATCTTCTCTTTCCCAGCAGTTGTGAATTAGATGGCCGAGTCTCCCACAAAAGTAGCATAGGTCCATAATCCTTTCATACTTAAAACTGACCCAAATGGAGCGTTCCCCGACTGTATATTCGAATCCGATTGGGATGGGGTCTTCAATGCTCACCTCCACCTTAGCTCTAATAAACTTTAGCCAGCCCCTGAAGTCGAAGTTCGACTGGTCTATGCAGTGGAATTGTGGGAAGATGAATGCCGCAACCGCTTGGACTGCTTCTTCATCTTTGAGGGATTGGGGGAGGTCATGCATCTGGACCCATAGGGTGACGGTGGGTATATCTGCCGGTTCAGCCTTCTGTTCGCCATCCCACTTCTTCAGGGCCACCAGGGTATTGCTCAAGTTCCACGGTCTTGCCTCATAGACATCATCCCTCTGTTTTGCTGATTGGAAGGAGTATACAAATAGGTTTTCAGCTTCTTTTGTGGCTTGTACTTCGCCATATGCTCTCCACTTGTTAACTGCCGCACTTCTTGCCTTTGGCAGGTTGATGCTTGCATATGTGATCCATTTCCCCAGTAGCATGGACATACCGCTGCCTCGAGCTCCAACAATCGTTGGTCTTACATTCAGGACTAGGTGACTCTTCTCCCCTCTTAGGCTCTTGTTGTGTGTTTCCATTTGTTGGTGACTGGGTTTCTTTGCTGTGCAAGATGAAGGAAGTGATCTCTGGGTGTTTTGGTATTGCTTGTAGTAGTTTATGGCGCTGACTATGGTTGAGTGAGTTGTTGCTGCCCAAGCTTGCTTGGCTTCCTTTATATAGGCCCTCAAGATCCTTATTCGTATCTTGGTCTGTCCTATTGGCTCACAGATACCATTGTGCATTGATTGCCTCTTGCTGCCCCCTTCTCTGATCGCCCCTCCTGCCATGCAACCTTTTGCTTTCCATTTATGGCAGCAGCTAGCAGCCGCTCTATCTTTGCTGTTGGCAATAACTCCTTCCACCTGTACCTTTCGTGAAGATCTCGGCGGGCTGATTTGCTCAGTGCATTTACTATCTTCCTTGTTCCTCTTTGTACATTGATGCTTCTGGGCACTTATGATTGCTGGGTAGCATTCCCCTGTATCTATCTCAGGTGCTTTGTTACAGTAAATTCTTTGTGTCGCTCTGACTAACCTTGGCAGTGCATTAACTCTTGCTTCCCCCATCTTCCAATTCTCACGCCTATTTCTTCCTCTGGTGGTGGTAGCTGGTTTACTTCGCTGCTTATTGAAAGACCCTTGCTCAGGTGGTTTGGGCGGTGGATTGACGTTTCCCCTGGGATCATCCCATGAGATAGTGTTTCCCCCATTGGTTGTAGACCTGTCCAGAAAAGACCTTTCTTCAATGCTTCGTATCCTTTCTTGAACTGCTTTGTGATCTTCATTAACTCTCTTCACAGTTTTGCAGGGGGTTGATATGGGAAGATTGAAGGCTCCGCCGATGGTAGCTGTAGAAGCTCTTGAGAACAGAGCTGGAGAGAAAATATTTAGAGAGAGCATTTTTTCGTTTTGCCGAGGACTAAACTTGAAACATTCGATTATCACTGATTAATAAAATAGCACTGATACACAATCCTAACTTTGAGCTTCATTTTCTTGGAGTACCTTCAGGATGCTCAAGATTTTCTACAGGATCATCCACCCGGAATACATCCAGAACAGAAACCTGGTTAGTGGAAAGAAGGAAAAATCTAACAGAGTAACTCTGTTTTAATCCTCTGCATTCGGGTTTCCACTGATCGTTGTTCTCTTTCTTCTTATTTCCCTTTCCATGAATCGTGACAGAAGCTAATTTTCCTCGGAGTTCGGTATGGAGCTCTCCGGGACCGCCACAGTTGTCTCCCCCGCCAGCGGTGGTGACTGGGAAATCCGGGTGAAGAAGGTTTCAGAGGAAGATATATTCCTGGAAAAGGACTGGGGTGAATTCATGGAAGCACATGCAATTGGAGTTTGGTACTTGGTTGTTTTCGAGTATTTGGGGGATTCCATGTTCAGGGTCGTTCAGATCTTCGACAGGACCACTCGTGCCTGCCTTCACGGCTCTGGAGATGAACACTCCACAGACAACAACAACAACCAACAACAACAAGAAGCAGAGGCAGAGAAGGAAGAAGAACAAACCCACCTCATAAATGGTACAAATCTGCTGATTTCATAACACTGATTGATTTTATCGCAGTGAAGTTAAAAAAAAAATTGGTGGGTTTTCTTCTTTGTTGTTGTTTGTTTCTTTGGCAGAACCAGAGGGAGACGAGATGGAGGCAGTGATTAGCACTCTGGGAACCAAAGGAGCCCATGTCATCGAAACCATTTCGAGCAAGACTTCAGCAGCATCAGGCATCCTAACTTCCGAGAGTAACAGGTTGTTGGAGGAATGCAAACAAGCTTCAAAATCCTTGTTTCCAGGTTTCTATAATAGAGTTGTCACATCAGGATCGGTAAGTCAGAGTGTACTCACGAACAGCAGAACCCCTCAGCTCCTTTCTCCCCTCCAATTAAATTTTGCGTCTGCATTTTTTTGTGTGTGCATGTGGTGCCTACCACATTCGTGAGGAAGTACATGTCGGGATTGACCAGGAGGGAGAGGACGAACTGTTGGGAGAACTGTGGGATGGCGGGAGAGGAAAGTGGAAGGTTCAGATTTACGCCAATTCGTCAAGGTGTGTCCATCTGAGAAAGGGATGGTGTGAGTTCTACAGAGACAACTCGTTGAAGGAAGGCGATATTTGTCTGTTTGAGTTAATTGGTGCCAAGCCTGTGGTGCTCAAAGCTTCGATCTTCTGCGTCTCTCCACAGTGAGAAAAAGGGATGGATGGAGGAGCCTCATTAGTATCATACTAGTATACTTCCAGCTTCAAGACATGAGCCCCCTTTTTTGTAGGATCTTAGTTACATTATAGTTTTCTGCGCCTAATCCATGTATGATTATGCAGCAATGAACCACAGTCTAGTTTCATACTTTCAGTGTTCTATTTCTGCTGTTTTTGCTTGTGTTCATCCTGGCTGTTTGAGACTCGGACTGAATGAATTACTTAATGAGCCTTTTGCTCATTGGCCCATAGTCAGTTGAGATGAAGTGGTCTCAAGTACCTCGTTTCACTTTGGGATAGTTGATGGAAGCCTTTGTACCACTCCTTAGTCCTTACTCTCGTGGACATGCAAAAAATCCTCGTCCGAGAGATTTTCAAGGGGCCCTCCAACGTTTTAGCCACTAACTAGTAAGTTGCGCGGTCATCTATTTTATGTAATATATGTTTAGAATATAAAATAATAGAAAGGCCATATCAATTCAACACATAATATTTCATAATCAAATAAAGAAATGTGCAACTGCATCCCTAAAACTCGCCATTCAATAAGCTTTCGCCTTGTTTGATATTTTTTTAGTAAATTGATGTTACTCACATGTAAGATGATATTTGAAATAATATATAAATGTGTGAATAATATAATAAATTTTTTAATGTATCCGGGCCAAAATGACCGACCATTAACCCTCAACCCACTTTCTTGATCGGGCCAACGAGCTAAACCGGATTGACAACCTTGGGAAGAAGGGAGAAGAATTGATGAGAAAGAATTTCAAAAAGAGAAGAAAAATACATAAACAATAATTATTAAAAAATTCATTTTGATGGACCACTAACAAATAGTGTTTTGCAATCCTTCTTTTTAATATATTAAAATAATTAATTTTTTCATATGTCCACACTAAAAGGGTCGACCATTAACTCTCAACCCACTTGTTTGATCGTGCCAACGGGCTAAACCGGATTGGCGACCTTGGAAGAAGGGGAAGAATTGATGAAAAAGAATTTTAAAAAGAAAATAAAAATACATAAACAATTTAAATGCTATTATAATGTTAATCAATTGTAAATAATTTTTAATTTTTAAAAAAATCATTTTGATGGGACACTAATTGAAATCCTTCTTTTTAATATCTTAATTAATTAAAATTTTAAATATTATAAAAATGTTAATCAATTGTAAATAATTTTAATTATTAAAAATTCATTTTGATGAGACACTAACAAATAGTATTTTGAAATCTTTCTTTTTAATATCTTTAGTTAATGTCCGGGGTAAAACGGTCGACCATTAACCCTCAACCCACTTGTTTGACTCGGCAAACGGGCTAAACCGGATTGACGACCTTGAGAAGTAAAGAGAAGAATTGATGAGAAAAAATTTCAAAAAGAAAAGAAAAATACATAAACAATTTAAATGCTATTATAATGTCAATCAATTGTAAAGAATTTTTAATTCTTAAAAAGTTAATTTTGATGGGATACTAACAAATAGTGTTTTGAAATCCTTCTTTTTAATATCTTAATAACTAGTTAAGAAATTAGGAAGTAACTAAACCCTGTTCGAACATGAATTTTCATTGGCGGTGTGTATGTTGGGTAACTATAGAGGAGTCGATGATCGTCAACACGATTTATTCTTTGGTGGGTAAGTTAAGGAAGCTGCCAGCCAGGGATCACCAAGAGAACTTTGTCGTGAACGACGAGTATGTGGTTGGCAATCAAGATCTCTTTAAGTAGTTTCACTTGAGTCTGTCTGATAGGACACTTTCAAGTTGAAAATTTCGTCAGGGTGATGGGGTGAGGAAAACAAGAAAGTGAACCATGTGAAGGAACCTCTGACTCAGTAGAACTTAGGAGGAAAGGCAAGTCACTTAGCATGAAAAATCTCATCAACTTTCCGGGTTAACTAAGGTAGCATCGTTAGTTTACATGGAACCTTATGTAATTTCCCATAGCCGAGTAGAATAGGGTTTCTTGAGAAACCTATATATGTACCTTGTATATTTGGTGAAAAGGTAACGAAAATAAGATCATAAAACCGGAGTGGGAGATCCTCTCCGTGAACTAGTGTCACATTGACGATACCACGTTAAAAAACCTCAGTATTCTTGCATGTTCTTTTGATTATTTGACGAGCATGAGAACTTAATTTATGCAACAAATGAAGTTGGCAATATTGTAAGAAACTAGAGATAAACAAGACACGCCAGGGGGTGATAGGTGCATTTCACCACTGGTTTAAAACTCCTATACTAGACATTAGATTTCTGCAATTCCTGTCAAGCATATGCAAGACAAATATATGGGTTGGAAAACAAACCTCGACAGATTTTGACCTTCCAATTCATGGCTTTTGGAGCAAGAAAGGACGAGCCATATATGAAACAAAGAGAAGAAAATCAAACAAGATAACTTTTGGTGAAAAAATAATTTGTGAATGAAAGGTGCAATGTAATCCTAGAGCTCTCATTTTGCTCTGCGGTATAATTTGTAAAAGCAGCTAGCTGAAACTTTTAGATAAGTATTTAAAAAAAACAATTGAATATTTGGCCGAAAACTATTAGAAGTGTTTTTCATATAAAATGTTATGTAAAATGACTATAAAGGACTTATGATATATGAATAATAATTTTAAACAATAAAAAGTAGTTAAAATAGATCTTGTTAGATTTCTTTATATTAGATAATATGATTTTATAATTTATTTTATTTTCTTAAAATGATATAGATGGAAGAAAATCATATTTCTGAAATAAAATTAAAATATGGTAAGGATAATCTTATATTTTCAAAACAGAGCTTCTGTTTTTTTATAAACAGAGCGCAGAGGGGCGCTCTAACCCTTAATCATTAACTAAACGAGTCGTCTGGACTCCAACCCTATCAAAATACAACCAATATCCCTGAGTAGGTTTCGGTACGTCACTATTATGAATGCCAACCGGCAGAGATAGGACTAGAGAGGCCAGGTAATCAGCAACGAAGTTCTCACACGAAATACGTGGATCATTTGAACTTCCCAATCCATTTGCAGCAGTCTTCTCGCCTCTAAGACCAGGACGTGGTGTGGGATGCGTGCTGTGGCGGGCTGGATGAGGTTTAGTGTTGTGGTAGAACACTACCAGCTTGTGTACCCCTGCATTCCGTGCCAAACGAAGTCCATGCACCAGGCCCGCAATCTCTGCATGAGTGATTTATCCACCACCCAAATTTGCGGCGAAGGCCTTTAGAAATCTTTCATCGCTTCCTCTTAGAACCCCCCCCCCCCCCCCCCCCCCCCCCCCCCAACCATTGTTCCTCCCTGAGCACCTGTGACAGAGCCATCCGTGTTCAAGCATGCCCATCCATCCGACGGTTGCTGTTAGCAACTATTTTTTTGGCTACATCATGCTCCTTCCCCCAGCACTCGCCGTGAAGTCTCCCAGGCAAGATCAACTTGCCTTCGAAGCTCTCGTATCTGCTGGATGAGATGGTAGGTGGACGCAAGTTTCTTCTCAAACACCCAGAGGTTCCTATTATGCCATAATTTCCAACAAAAGATAGCAAAGATGGAAGAGTCAATCATCTTACTACGATCAGTAAGGTAGTGAAGCATCCACCTCTCCACGTCATTGCCGAAGAAAACATCATCTGGTTCGTTCATTAATATCTCCGACCAAGCTGCTCGAGCATATGGACAGTCCCTAATAACATGGATCGCTGTCTCCGGACCCCCGCCGCAGATCGGACATGTATCATGTTGGGCTAAATGACGGCGGTGACACTCCCCATCGGTGAGGAAGCGGCCATATAAAACCAGCCAGAGAAGTGTCTTCGTGCGCTGCAGATTTGGTGTGCGCCAGGCAGCCTTCCACACCAGATGAGTGTGACCACCATCTGTGCCTTCTGAAAGAAGCAGCTGGTAGGCAGATTTGATCGAAAAGTCCCCTGGTGGAGTAAGACGCCAGCTTGGCTCATCCATCTCACTGCCCTGGGGTGTCGGATGTAGTAGGATCTGAGAAACAATCTCCTCGGAGAGGAAATCACGGAGATACTCCGTGTTCCAGTAACCATTCAGAACAAGCTCAACAACAGAGAGGCTCAAAGCCTCTTCCGATAGGTTCTCTGCGAGTTGGGCAAGTGGCGGACCGACCATGAGCCATCGATCCGTCCAGAAAGAAGTTTGCTGGCCATTTTTAATATTCCACAGTAATCCTTGAGGTAGCAGATGCATCACTCGTATTACTCCACGCCACAGGTTTGACATCCGACCCGTCACCCTCGGTCTGCATCCTCCTTCAGATGCTCTTAAATATTTTGTCGTGATCGTTCTCACCCATAGGCTATTTGGCTCTGTCAACAACCTCCAAGCTATTTTCAACATAAAGGTGTCATTCATTTTAGTGGCACTGCATAAACCGAGACCTCCCTCCTCCTTTGGGCAATATAGGGCTTCCCAACTCACCAAATGGATCTTTCTTCCCTGCTCCGAGCTACCCCACACAAAATTCCTGATTTTCTTGTCAATGTAGTCGTGGAGCTTCTGCTTTTATGTTGTACAAAAGCAATTTTCGGCTTTTTTTAAAACTGAGATTTTAGAGGTGTTTGGCCCTGCTTGCAGCTTTTGAAAGCGAAAAACACTTCTAAAAGTCGGACCAAACACAGGCTACAGTTTGGTTGGTAAGAAGGAAAATACAAGTGTGTCATTATTTGATGACACAAAAAATATATGTTTCTAGAATCTCATTTCATGGCTTGTTTTACATGATTTCTGTATATTTGTTGTCATATTAATTTGGATTTGCTTGGTAGTTGATTTGCTTGGTAGTTGCTCAAAGATGTGTTTTGTAGTGTCTATGTATGTTTTAATACTTTGATGTCCTTTTGGTAGTGTTTTGTGTGTTTTCAGGCCAAAACATCGTAGTAGACCACCTTATACGCGAGCTTAAGACATCAAGATCCAACTACTGTAAGTTCTAAATGGAGCTGGAACTAGGGGTGGGCAATGAGTGAGTTGGGTGGGTTTTCATTTCAAATTGACTCACACTATAAATGTGACCCGCAATCCACCCACATTCTTTTGCGGGTCGGGTTGGGTGGGTTGCAGATGAGTGTGTTTGGGTCGTGGGTTAACCCGCAAAAACAATTCTCCAACTAGCCATTAAGAAAGTTGACTAAAATTTATAATAAGTTTGTAGTAAATTAGTAAGACTGTATCAATTTTAACACTTCTCATTTTTTCTCAAGTGAATCCATGTAGTTTTTGTCGCAAACGGTCCGTCCGCGAAGTGGCTCGAAAAAGAGGAGTCACCACAATCTCTCAAAGTGGATTGGACACTTGAAAAGCCAGACTTAAATCGGTTAAAATTTAGGCTCGGCTCGGTCTGCGAAATAGATTTATGGGTTTGAAGGTCGGTTGCGAGTAAGAAAGGTATTAGCACCCTTACATCGCCATAAGTTGGTACTATAAGTTTGATTTGTTCGTTTGAAATTATTTTGCTTTACTTCGAATATGTGATGTCATTTGTTAAATATATTACATGTTCATCAACATGTGATGACGTTGGGATCGTGAATTAATATTTTTGGTAATTTTTAGGGAAAGGGAGTTTTATTTATTAGTGGACTTGGACCTGGGCCGCCTACATACCTGACATCTCGGGATCAAAGCCCTCGTAGTTCGCCTATATTTTAATTATTGCTTACAACTCATCGGTACGTAATAGTTGCTTAATTTAACTACGATCCATCGATCGTAATTTCCTTGAGATTGATTAAAAAATTAATAATCACATACCCTTTGGTACGTAATAGTTGCTTAGTTTGATGACGTTCCATCGATCGTGATTTGTTTGAGATAGACTAAATTATTAATCACGTACCCATTGATACGTATTAGTTTATTGATTTTGAACACGATCCATCGATCGTCATTTGTTTAAAATAGGTTAGGTGATAAATTGATCATGTACCCATCGGTAATGACTTGATCGTATAATTTGATAAAATAATATTTTAGCAGTTGTGTGGACTTGAACCTTTCGGTCGCCTATGTATCTGACATCTCGTGATCAAAGTTCGTGTACTTCGATTGACATCTTAATTCGGATTAATTAGATTAGAAAGTCATTTATGTTTGACAAAATATTGTTGATAGTTATTATCCTAAACCTATGAAATTATAGAACGCATCCGTTCCTAACTTCAAATTTCCAATAAGGATTTTAAGGACTTTTATGGTTACATAATTATAAACAATAGTAAATCAAATGAAGATAAATTAATGAATCAATTAAATAAATGGATGGTTAATGTCGATGCCTTAGAGAATAGGGTGACGAAATTAGCAATTTTAGTACAATAATCTGGTAATTCACTAGGGTTACATGGTTAGAATCGTAACTTTAAAAATTAAGAGAGAGGCCAATTTAGCTATCCTGCTGACAGGCATTTTTGTTAGTAGATACTAACAAAGCCATATGTGCCTCCACGTCACCAAGGCCCCGGAAAAAAAATTGGGCCTGCAGGGCCCACAATTTCAAAAAAATCAAAATTTGAAAAAACCCTACCCATATTTGCTGGATCGGGCAGCCGCACCATTCATTCGAAATTTTCCCTCTCTCTCTAAAAAGAGTCTGCTTCTCCCTCTCTCTCCCTCTCCCTTTCCTCTCTCGATCGTGTGTGACGACGTCGCCGATGACGGCGACGGTGGCGCGAGGGATCGACGGCGACGGTGGCGCTAGGAATCGACGGCGACTTTGACGGTTGTGGCGAGGACGACGGTCAGTGAAGTTGCGACGGCGGCTTTGACAGCATCGCGACGGTGACGGCAGCGAGACAAGAGTGAACGATAAGGTATGTCTTCCCCTTGCTTCATTCGTACTTAAGATTGTTTTATTTCATAGATTCGTTTTTAGGTTTTGGCATGGATTGTATTTAGGGTTTAATGGATTGGGGGTTTTGGCTGGCTCGGGTTGTTAATGGTTGGTTGGGGTTTGTGTGATGGATACGAGTGTTAACGGGTTTGGATATTTCTGTGGATTGCCTAGATATCAGTTGTAGATTGCCTGGATATCTGTTTGGTATATCTGAATATCTGTTGTGAGTTGCCTGGATATCAATTGCCTGGATAGTTGTTTGACGAATTTGGATATTCTACTGTACAGGGAAATCACAACAATTTGGATATCTGACTTTTTGTAGACTAATATCCTTAAAGAACAGACAAATACCTTCTTTATTTAAACAAATATCAGCAAATCACAGACAAATATCCGAAAGAACCAGACAGATATCCGAAAGACCTAACAAATATCTGAAAGACCCAGACTAATGTTAATGATTCGTTGGGGTTTGTCTGGATGCCTGGGATTCGTTTTCATGGTTGTGCGATGGATACAAGTGTTGACGGGTTTGGGTATTGCCCTGGTGTGCATGATTACTATTTTGGGTAACCGAGTTTTATTTTTTGCTTATTTGACTGGATCTGGATTGCTATTGTTCTGGGTTTTGTGTATCTGGGATTCGATATTAATTCTTTTGCAGCAGGATATTTGTTTTCATTTGCCTGGATATCTGTTTGGTATATCTAGATATCAGTTGTGAATTGGCTGGATATCTGTTTGCTATATCTGGATATCAGTTGTGAATTGCCTGGATAGTTGTTTGACGAATTTGGATATTCTACTGTACAGGGAAAACACAACAATGACAAGAACTAAAGCTGCTGCAACAATGAGGCCCAGAACAGAAGCTGAAACCTCGAGGTATAAACGTGCTAAACAACAACAGCAAGAGGAGGAAGAAGAATATGATTTTGGGGATGCGGAAATTGAGCATGAAGAATATGATTTTATGGGACTATAACAACCGGTCCGATGAAATAATTCAAGGTGCAAAAGATTGGAATGCGAAGAAAGAAAAAGGGAAAAGGAAGAGAAGTTGATTGTAGACTTGTGTAGTGTAATATTGGTTTGTAAAACTGAACTTAGGGTTGGATAATATTTAGAGATGGATGCTATTTAGGGTTGGATAGTATTTAGGGATAGATGATGGTTTGTAGCAGGATGAAGGATATTTTGCCAGATGTTGGATATAATTACTAACATAAGTTCTGATTGAAAAATATATTGTAACCTCCCAGGTAAATATCTGTCTTTTTGTAGACTAATATCCTTAAAGAACAGACAAATACCTTCTTTATTTAAACAAATATCAACAAATCATAGACAAATATCCGAAAGACCCAGAAAGATATCCGAAAGACATAAACAAATATCCGAAAGACCCAGACTAATATCAATAGAGCCCAGACTAATGTCCTTATACCCTTCTTTTGTAGACTAATATCCTTGGAGCCCAAACTAATAGGAGATAAAGATGGATAACACTTTGAATCAGAAATGGAAACAAACTCAACACAATACAAATTGATGACAGGAAATACTAATTCATTTCTTCAAGGTCTCCTCGGTGTTATCTTCATCATACGACTCTGAAAAAGCGGGGAACATTACTTCTTCCCAATCCATGTGAAAACCACACCCGTTATCATTGTCGTACTCGTACATCCAACATCAGAAATACTTCTTCGGTAGGTTGACTCCATCAACAACAAGTCGTTTAGCGGCTCTCTAACCATAATAACAGAGTATAACACCATCATATTCGAACTCATCCACCAATCCCCGACGCAATACTATTATTGTTTCATGGGCCTTCGGCCCCTGGGCCCTCGGCGGGCAGCCCTAACTAAGGTTGCAAGCCTTATGTGTTAGGACTTGCTAGTGTGCCAACACATGTCAACAAATATCTGTAAAGCGCAGACTAGTATCCCTTAATGACGGACTAATATCCTTCCAATTACAAAAGCATATCATGTCATCACATATCAATATCAGATCACAACATACCACTTTTGAAGAGAGAGAGAGAGAGAGTTGGGTGGTTGGACATTTAATTGCATCCCTCCTTTCTTTTTTTTTTATTTTCTATTCCTAATTTTAATATAACACACTGGCCCACTTTTTCCTTTTTTCTTCTCCCGCCCAAACCCCCTAGCGGGCCCACTTTTCCCATTTTCCTTCTCCCGCCCAACACAACCCCCTTCCTTCTCGGCCCTTGGATCGCAGCAAAGTGGATGTGGCTTAAATCCGGCCCGTGTTAGTATCTACTAACAAAAACCCTTGTTAGCAGTCTAACTTTTGCGGAGAGAGGCAACCTTACCTCCTCTTATCCGACGCAGTTGAGCTCCCGAAACAAAGAGCGATCGTCCCTCTCCTTCTTCCTCCTTTCTTCTTTCAA